TGCACATCTCATTTGTTTTTCTAAGTGAGGATTAATCATCTTACCTCGTGTCTGCTTTCTTGTTTATCTCCTTTAGTTGTACAGACTTCATTATGTTTATTATATCTTGTAGGTCTATATAAGCGAGTATATACCATGTTTGTCTTTCTCCTTCTGGGATACTTCACTCAGAATGATCTTTTCTAGATCCCACCACTTGCCTGCAAATTTCATGATTTCCTCATTTTTGATTGCTGAGTAGTATTCCATTGTGTAAAAATACCACAATTTCTGTATCCATTCCTGTGTTGATGGACATCTGGGTTGTTTCCAGGTTCTGGCTATTACAAATAAAGCTGCTACAAACATGGTTGAGCAAATGTCCTTGTTGTGTACTTGAGCAAATTTTGGGTATATACCTAGCAGTGGTATAGCTGGGTCTTGTGGAAGCGTTATTCCTAATTGTCTGAGTAAGTTATTCAGTTTCTATATACTATTTGTGTTGTTGTTGTGGTCCAGCCTTAGTCCATGGTGGTCTGATAGAATACAGGGGATTATTTCAATCTTCTTGTTTCTGTTGAGGCTTGCTTTGTGACCAACATTATTCTCTATTTTAGAGAAGGTTCCATGAAGTGCTGAAAAGAATGTATAATCTTTTGTGTTTGGGTGAAAAGCTCTGTAGACATCCATTAGGTCCATTTGATTTAGGACATTTGTAAGTGCCTTTATTTCTCTATTTGGTTTCTGTGTATATGATCTGTCCCTTGGTGAAAGTGGGGTGTTGAAATCTCCCACTATTAATGTGTTGGGATCGATGTGTGATTTACGTTTTAATAATGTTTCATTTATGAATGTAGGCGCTCTTGTATTTGGGGCATAGTTTTCAGAATTGTGATGTCCTCTTGGTGGATTTTTCCTTTGATGAGAATGTAGTGTCCCTATTCATTTTTTTTATTAATTTTGGTTGAAAATCTATTTTATTAGATATTAGGATAGCTACCTCAACTTGTTTTCTGGTTCCATTTGCTTTAAAAATTTTTTCCAGCCCTTTACTCTGAGGTAGTGTTTATCTTTGTTGCAGAGATGCATTTCTTGGATGCAGAGACTGCTGGATCGTGTTTCTGCATCCATTCTGTTAGTCTGTGTCTTTTTATTGGAGAGTTGAGTCCACTGATATTGATAGATAATACTGACCAATGAACGTTAATTCTTTTTATTGTGGAGTTGGTGATCTTACTCTGATATCTTACTCTGATTCATTGCTTGTTTTCTTTTAATTTTAGTAGGTAAATTATCAGTATCCTATTTTTTCTTGGGTATAGTTTTTTTTTTTTTTTTTTTTTTGTTGGATTGGAATTTTCCTTCTCGTATCTTCTGTAGGGCTGGTTTGCTTTGTAGAATATGGTTAAATTTAGTTTTATCATGGAATATTTTTTTTTCTCCATCTATGTTGATTGAAAGCTTTGCTGGGTATAGTAGTCTGGGTTGGCATCTTTGGTCTCTGCATGACCTCTGCCCAGGCCCTTCTGGCTTTTATAGTTTGTGATGAGAAGTCCGGCGTGATTCTGAAAAGTCTACCTTCATATGTTACTTGGCTTTTTTTCCCTTGCTGCTTTTAATATCTTTTCTTTGTTCTGTACATTTAGTTTTATGACAATGATGTGATGTGATGTGTTTCTTTTCTGGTCTAGTCAGTTTGGTGTTCTGTAGGACTCTTTGATGTTTATGGACATCACTTTCTTAAAGTTGGGGAAATTTTCTTCTATGATTTTCTTGAAGATATTTTTTGGACCTTGGCGACTGGAATCTTCTTTTTCATCAATTCTTATCATCTCAGATTTCGCCTTTTCATGGCATCCTTGATTTCTTGGATGCTTTGTGTTTGGGACTTATCTGATTTTACTTTTCCTTTGAGAGAATTATCAATTTCTGCCAGTGTAACTTCAACAGCAGAGATTCTCCCTTCCATCTCTTGTATTCTGTTTGTGATGCTTACTTTTGTAGTTCCTGATCTTTTCTCTAAGTTCTCCAGCTCCAGGGTTCTCTGTTTGTGTTTTCTTTATTGATTCTAATTGTATTTTTATGCCTTGCGTCATTTCTTTTGTCTGTTAGTATGGGGCTTCCTTTCTCTGTATGATGGCTTCTATTTTTTGTTTGTTTCTTCTCTGTATGCCACTAATTTTTCCTCTACTTGTCCATCTATTTGTTTGGCTATATTTGCTTGTGTTTCTCTGAGAATTTTGTTCAGTTCTTCTTTCTTTGCTTCCACCTGGGTGGCCAATTCTTTGATAGATTTGTTTGTTTCCTCTTTATGTAACTCTAATAACTGGATAAGCATATCTTTAAGGTCCTTTTCCTGTGTATGTGATGAATTGGAGTATTCACCAGTTGCTGGTGAAGCCATGATTTCCTGATTTTTGTTGGGTGTGTTCATTTGCCTACCTCTGGCCATTTGCTTATCTGTAACCTTCACTGTTTGTTCTTGGGTTCTGCATTTCAGATTGGTACCATCTGTCTCTGGCTTCTTGAGAATTCTTTAGGGAGATGAGAGAGGTCTAATGGTTTCAGCATGTGAGTTGGAGCTTCAGCTGTACCTGTGGGAGGAAATCCGTGGGCACAGAAGGACAAATGAGAATGCGTGTGTGTGTGTGTGTGTGTGTGTGTGTGTGTTTGCCTTGAGGGACAGGTGCTAGAGAATGTAGAGGCCTAAAGTTTTTGGGAGGGGTGCCTTGCAGGCATAGAAGGGGTCACAGGCATTGAAGTTACTGCATGCTCTGGTGATGATCACGTGCACAAATTCTCTGAGTATATCAGTGGCCGTCAGGCTACTGGTAATTTTCTCTAACTGAGTTCCAGGAGTTATTTGCCTAAACTCTGCTGGTAGCTCCACAGAGCCAGGGTTTCCTTGTACAAAGAAACCCTCTGTTTTCCATAGTGGATGTGTGGGTGGGAGATTTCTGATGTCTGGCTGCTAGCTTAGAAGCACTCTGGATCTGGGACTCTGCAGGCATGTGGAGGCTCACTTACCCACCCTTTAGCAGGTTGAATCGAAATGCACAGGTATTCCTCCTTTTCTCTACTGGCAGGTTTGTACCTGATGAGCCAAATTGCTCTCAGACAGCTCAGTGGTGTTGCAGCCCCTGTACCTGGGAATCTAGTTGCAGTTGTAGAACTGGGGTGTCTATGTGCCTCCCCGAAAGTCTATGTGCTATGGCTTGGTGTTTCGTGCACCTGCGCAGTTTTGCAGGTCCGCTGGACTTTTTTGGCTGCACAGCCACTGAGGGACTGAGTGGCTCATACAGTCAAGCTCTGTGGAGTTGATAAGGCTGGCTGCTCGCAGGCGTGGGACCCAGTCAGGATTATAAGGTGGATCTCGTGCTTGGGATGGGTGATGCTGGCTTCTGAGGCTGAGGTGCTAGTATTCCCGCCTCTGCTATCTCGGTTCTCAGGCAGACAGATTTGTGCCATTGGCCCTGTGGCTCAACTCCTCTGTGGGAGAGGGTGGACCAAAGAAGGTCCCTCTCCGGTCACAGAGAAGTCCGTGTCTGATATGAATCAAAAAGTTCTCTGCTCCTGTGGTATTCCCCCTCCTTCATGGAGCCACAATGTTGATTTTCCAATTTTAGTTGCCCCTCCACTCAACAATTTCGGAATTACAAATCCTCTGCCTTTCAGAAATAGTGCATGCTGATTGCCAACACATTCCCCGCATGTTTTCTTATACAACTCATCTGTGATATAAATATCACCTCTGTCTAACCTATAAATCCTCTTCACATAACTTCTCTCTATCATTTCCTTAAGTCTATTTTTGTGTTTTTCATTTACATGTATGTAAAAACACTCAAATATAAGTGTATTTATTTTCTCTATTGTGAAGCCTTTACTAAACATTGGAGTAGTATGTTTAAAGTTTTTTCTTCCAGAAAACTTCTCTAGAACTTAAATTTTCTTTCTCTATTTAGAATTGTGTCTGTTTTATTACCAACTATAGTTTTCACATGCATGTTTTATGTTTTTCCAGATATATGTAAGCTTCTTAAAATAGGTAGTATGCTTTGTACTTATCAGGGGAGTACTGAAGGAACATGATGACAATTTGTTTACTTTAAAGAAAATACTCCAAAATGATGAGAGTTGTGTAAATACTATAGCAGTACAGTATTTTCTCCTTTCTTTTATATATCTGCCTGGAAAAAATATGAAAATATAGAATTTATAGAATTTGAAAGTTCACATAAGGCAAATGTCCATGCTTAGTAGGTAAGTTAATGTCAAAGTAGAACCAGACAAGTTGGTTGCTTCATGGTTATAGCTATTATAGTTTACTCAATAATTCATGTGTAACTTTTGAAAGTATCAATTTGACAAAATATCTGACAGAACTGATTTAAGGGAGGCAATGTTTATATTAGCTTATGTTTTCAGATTTCAGTCCATCATTGAAGGAGAAGGCATGGCAAGGCACATAAGTTTGTCATGTTGGGTGTATATGACAAAGGCCATCCAGAAAACAGTAGACCAGGAAGCAAATCATAAGTTCAAAAATGTTTAATTATTAGTCCTAATATTGTGATTACAATGGTCCTGGAAGATAGTTTGTTAGGAAAAGTCACATTTCTGACCAATGTGTACATCCTTTGTCTATGGTGAATTATACACTTAACAACCCAATTTCATGCATATAAGTTTTTCTGCTTCATCTCAGGGACAATTTTGTCCATTTGCATGCTGTGTATGACCAAAGGTTTTACATATTGATACTGTTCACTACTAGCTGTATTTGATTTAGTTTATAATCATGATGCTCTTTCTTGTTTAACAAATCTGACTGTTTCCAATTTTTAAAACATTACATAAATTTTCCATGGAAAACATAAAACAAGCAAAACCTGTATATCTTAAATATCAGAAAGAATTGGCTATAAGTGTGAACATGTAATATTGTCCATGAAATTGTCTCCAATAAAGAGATGAAAGTCATGTTAGGTAAATGGTCTCAGAGATCCCTTATTTTGCAGATGAGCACAGTGAAAATGTTACGGCCTCGTCTCACAAGCATCCTTTTCAAGCTCACCTTTGATGAACATGTAAACAACATCAAACCAAGCATAATAGCAGTAACTCTTGCATGTGAAGAACTGAAAAAGAGTGAAAGCTTTAACAGACTTTTAGAGCTGGTTCTTCTGGTTGGAAACTACATGAACTCAGGTTCAAGGAATGCCCAGTCTTTGGGTTTTAAGATCAACTTTCTTTGTAAGGTAAGATATCGTTTTATAGTATTAATTTATAACAGTAATTTTCTGTGTATGTGAGTGAAATTATCTAAATGGAAATAATTTATCAATTCCAAATTATATAAAGTAGAAGTGAGGTTGATAGCATGTAAACTATGTCTTGAGTAAAATAAACATTTGCAAATCTTATTGGAGTAAAATTCAAAGATTATGAAGTCTTTGAATATCAAAGATTATGATATCTTTCTGATTAAATCATACTGGTGATTATAGACCATACATAATTTCTCAATATAAAATAAGTTAACCTAATATTTCACCCTCTTTTTACTTATTTTATGTCTCTGGAAAAGTTTTTGAAGAGCTAAGTTATATGAGGAAAGGTGACAAGAATTATTCTTTACAGACAACTGAACAGGTGAAGGCCTTTGAGGAAGCCTGAGATAAAAATGTATCTGTAGTGAAGTACTATTCTTTGACATCTTCCCATGCTTTGACTGCTTATTCTTCTTTTAGATCTGAAAACACTGCAGAGGTTTGGCTACTTCTATACATTTATTTTTTAAATTTATTTTTTATTAATTATAATTTATTAACTTTAATCCCAACTGTAGCCCCTTCCCTCATCCCCTCCCAATCCTGCCCTCCCTCTTTTCCACCTATGTCCCTTCCCCAGTCCACTGATAGTGGAGGTCCTCCTTCCCTTCCATCTGATCATATTCTATCTTGTCTCATCAAGACTGGCTGCATTGTCTTCCTCTGTGGACTGTAAGGCTGCTCTGCCCTCAGGGAGGGGTGATCAAAGAGCAGGCCACATGAGTTCATGTCAGAGACAGTCCCTGTTCCCATATTTAGGAAACTCACTAGGACACCGAGGTGCTATGGGCTACATTTGTGCAGGGGTTCTGGGTTATTTCCATGAATGGTCCTTGGTTGGAGTATCAGTTCAGAAAATATCTCTGTTCCCAGACATATATTTTAACAAGAATCTCAAACGAGTATGGACTTCTTTATTACTCATGAATTAACCTATACAAGTTACAAATCCACAAAGTATCATTTTAAAATGTATGAAAAACTATTTGATTATGACAAATGTAACACTTATAAATAGTAGAGATAACATGCATAGACTATATATATATATATATATATATATATATATATATATATATATATATATAATGTGATTATGACTATCTCTTTACTCCTGAGAAACTTCTTGGAGTTTCATGAAAAAAAGATAACAAAATAGACTAGATAATTTATAAATGACAGATTTTGTCAAGAATAGTTTTTATTACTTCTTCTTGTAGTAATGGGGAACACATCAGTTCATTAGATAACACCATGTAGAATAAGGCACTACTTCTAATATATAAGAATAATTACATCTGTATTCATAGGGAAAGTCTATTATGGAACTGTTCTTTTTATTATAGGCCATACTAGGATGCCTCTTTGTTTGAGTGCATTCTCTATGTACAGTTTGTGAATTTAAACTTTTAGTTTATGATTATGAAAAGTTATATATTAAATAAAATGCAGTAAATTTATACTATATATTTCTATAATATTATGTATCTATTTTACATTACATTTTATATAAATATCTTAAGCAAAAATTTCATTTTGGACAAATACGTTACTTTTAAACTGCCTTAATTTTATCTTATTCAAATTTATTGTGTAGAATAATTATTTTGAAGCAAGCATAAACAATTCATTTATATACAAGTTCAAAAGTTATATTAATCTCACAGAAAGATTTTAACTTCTGTCATATATTTTAGAGAGAGCTTTCTTCCTGTCATCTACCTGTCAAATAAAAGGTTTTTTTTGGTGTTTTGGTTTTTTTTTTTTTTTTGGATATAGCACTGAAGCACTGATCTGACATCTATCACTAGAGGTATGCTCAAAGGATTTACCACAAAGATTTTTACCAACTTCAAATAAAATAAAAATTGTCTTGGGAGAAATACTATACTGTAGTAATAAGTGGTCTAAAAGTAAAAGAAGTTAAGAGTTTTAGAATATTCCACCTCACACTTTATTTGCATTTTTTATCTTATGGGAAATACTTTTGTGGTTATAGATGTCATTACTAAAGAGAAATATCATATATACGCATGATATTTCTACAATGTTTAAGAATAACAAGATTTTCCAGAATACAAAGGATTTGGAATAAATGTAAAGGTTTAAAATGGCATAAATTTACTGAAGTACATGGAAATATTTACCTTAGAACTATTAATCTTTTAAAACATTAATCTTTTAAAGATGGCATTAACTAACCACTAATACAAGATTAGCTAGAATTGTTGTTAAATTTCATGTATACAAGACTACTTGGAAAAAAAAAACTACTTGGATTATTTTTTTTCTTTATGCTTGAAAAGTGAGACCATTTCTCAACTAAATTTTCTAATAATAAATCCTTTTTTAAATTTAAATTTCTCTATTTTTTTCATGTCCTCTATATATACCTCTGTATGTTCCTGTACATGTGCCTCTATTTGTTTGGCTTTATTTGCCTGTATTTCTTTGAGAGTTTTGTTTGGTTCCTCTTTTTAGCCTCTAATAACTGGATAAGCATAGATTTGAGATCATTTTCCTGTGTTTCTGATGAATTAAAATATCCATTGACTTTTGGCGGTTGCTGGTGAAGACAAGATGCCCTGATATTTGTTGGATGTGTTCTTATGCTAACCTCTAGCCATCTGCTTATCCACAACATTTGCTGTTTATTCCTGGAGTCTGTAATTTAGACTGGGTCCGTCTGTCTCTGGTGTCTGGAGTATTCTTCAAGAGGATAAGAAAAGACCACCAGTTCAAGAAACGATGTTGGTGTTTCAGCTGTAGCTAAGGGAGGAAGTCATAGGCACACATGCACAAGCGCTGTAGTGTGAATGGAAGTGTACCTTGGAGGACTGGGTGCCAGTGTGTCTTGATGCCTGAAAGGGTGGAATATAAGTGCAAGTTAGGGTGCTAGCATGGTTCATGGGCGCAGTGCACATGTGCAGGTGCCCTAAACGCCTCAATGACCCACAGGCCTGTCTTAATGTCCTCCAAGCACTCAGATCTGTGTGGGTTGCACCATCTTGGCTCCAGGAATTGTTTGCCTGCACTCCACTGGGAGACCCACAGAACAGGGCCTTCAAAATTGAGAAAGCAGGTGGGGATATGGATGGGAAGGATCAGATGTCTAGCTGCTAGCATAGAGAGACCCTGGATCTGGGGCTCTACATGCACTAACTTAAAGGTCCGCTCACTCACTTGCAGGCCTATGCTGAAAGCACAGGTGCCTTTTCCAACCACCCCCCACCCCCCACCCTCTTTCACTACTCTCAGATTTGGGCCCAGAGGGACAAATGAAAGTAAAAGAAATCCATCAGTTGTAGCTGCTGTTTGGCTGCTGGGAAGGGATGCCCTTAGTTGGGACAGCTGTCTCAGTCACAGAGCAGGGAGGCTCATACCACCTCCACCTCTGCCTTCTCAGTCACCAAACAGGGAGGCTTATGCTTGGGGCAGCTGTCACCACACCCCCCCACCAAGCAGGGATACCCTTACTTGGGGGCTCTTCCACCCTTTCTATCCTGGATCATTGGTTGTCCTCTTAAAGCCAATGTTCTGGCTTCAACCACCCCTCCACTCACCAGGTTTAGAGTTTTGGATCCTCTGCCCTGCAGATATTGTATACGCTGGTTGCCACCATATTGGAGCCCCATGAACAAATAGGAATCCAAATACAAATAGATGAAAGAAATGATGCAAGACTTGAAAACTGAATAAGCATCAATAAGGAAAACACACACAAGAAACTCCTGGAGATGGAAAAACCAGACGAGATAGAAGAAAACACAGATGTGAGCATCACCAACAGAATTAAAGATATGAAAGAAAGAAACTTGGGCACTGAAGACAAAATTGAAAAAATCAGTATCTCTCTCTCAAAAAAAAAAAATCCAAAAATATCCAAGAAATCAAGGACACCATGAAACGACAAAGCCTAAGAATAATAGGAATAGATGCAATAATATATAGGCTCTAAGGTCCAGAACATATTTTCAAGAAAATCATAGAAAAAAAATTTCCCAACATTAAGAAAGTGATACCCTTAAACAGATAAGAAGCCTCCAAAACACGAAAAAGACTAGATCAGAAAAGAAACTCCTCAGGTCCCATAACAGTCAAACACTACATCTAAAGAACAAAGAAAACCTGTTAAAATCAGCAAGGGAAAAATGCCAAATGACATATAAAGGTAGACTATTCAGAATCATGGCAACCTTCTCAATAGAAACTATGAAAACCAGAAGGGCCTGGGCAGATCTCATGTAGACTGTTAGAGATCACAAATGCCGATGCAGATTACTATACCCAACAAAGCTTTCAATCAACATGGATGGAGAAAACAAAACATTTTATGACAAAACTAAACTTAAACAATATCAACACAGTAACCCAATCCTACAGAAGATACTAGAAGGAAAACACCAATCTAATGAAATCAACTACACCCAAGAAAACACAGGATGTAGATAATTTCACAACAAAACATTAAAAGAAAACAAGCACACAAACACACTAGCACCACTAACTCCACAATAAAAGGAACTTACATTTATTGATCAGTATTCTCTATCGACACCAATGGAATCAACTCTCCAAAAAAAAGTCACAGACTAACAGAATGGTTGCAAAACAAGGATCCAACATTTTGTTGCATCCAAGAAACACACCTCTGTAACAAAGACACTACCTCAGAGTAAAGGGCTGGAAAAATGTTTTTCAAGCAAACAGCCTGAGAAGACAAACTGGAGTAGCTATCCTACCATCTAATAAAAGAGACATCAAACAAAATTAATCAAAAAAGATGAGGAAGGACACTTCATTCTCATCACAGGAAAAATCCACCAGGAGGACATCACAATCCTGAACATCTGTGCTCCAAATACAAAAGCACCTGCATTTGTAAATGAAACATTATTAAAGCTTAAACCACAAATTGATCCCAACAC